CGACGACGACGACGACGACGACCACATCCACGACGACTGAGCCATAACACCTACCTCTGGGCAGTTCTTGTGCCCGCGGCTTTTCTGCAATCTGGAAGCCCTCACATTTCGGCACGGAGCTGTTTTAAATACACCAATACTGAGCAACTATGAAAGTTCGAAAGCTCCACCGCACCCACCTGAAACGAAATAACTTCCTTCCGGGCTTAAGACAAGAAGGTTTGGCAAGGTGTATTGCGGGGGTGTACCGGGTCAGCTTTTCTTTGAGGCTTACTTACAGTTCCCAACACACCCAACCAAACCGTAGTATAAACCCCATACTTTGAGGTTCTGGAGGCTCCGTAAGCAATCAGGTTGTAGATGCAACTACACATACCCCAAGTGCATTGTTTAATGAAAACAATATGTACTCCTTACCCTAAACCCTAAAACCTAACTTAATAAGTCATATCATCCTTGAAGCCTTCAAGAAATCGGTGCTCCGAAATGCCAAGACCCTAAGTGCCCCTGAACCGCAGGCCTCAAAGCACTGGACCTTGAGGCTCTCAACTCCCAACCCCAAAGCCTAAGGTTTAGGGTTTAGGGTTTATCGAGAATACAATAAGTAGACATCTCGTGTCTCCGCGCACTTGAAGTCTCTTGGTTTCAGGTGCCCCAGCCCCAGCCCACGACCAAACCGCGACCCTGGACCCAAACCAGCCCCACGTGCTAGAAGACCACTGCCTACTTGGAGGATTAATAGGACTTAGTAAGTAAGGTTATAAGTTCCTTAATGGGGGTTATAAGTAAATATAAATATAGTTTCCTTAGTCAGAACCCTACTTACTAAGTCCAATGATCCTTTACGTAGCCCAGCCCAGCCCCAGGCTGGAGGGAACAAATGCAAAAAGCCCACTCCCAGCCTAGAAACCACGACCAACCCCAGCCCCAGCCCCAGCCCCAGCCCCCACCCCGGTCTACAAAACAAAACGTTTCCCTACCCCAACCCTCAACAAATTCCCTGAACCCTAAACTTCTAAACCCTAAAGCCCTATAAAGCCCGGAGCCCGAAACGGTGGGTTTGAGGTGTAGCACCACGGTTTAAGGTTTCGGGTTTAGGGTTCAAGGGTTCAGGGGTTCAGGGGTTTTGGGGTTTAGGGTTCAGGGGTTCAGGGGTTTAGGGTTTAGAGGTCAGGGGTTCAGGGGTTCAGGGGTTTAGGGCTTGGGGCTCGGGCCCTAAAGCCTAAAGCCAAAAAAACCTCAAAAAACTCCAGGTTTAGGGTTTAAGGTTTAGGGTCCAAACTTCAAAGCCTTACACCCTACACCTGGAGAAACCTCAACCCACAGAGGATCAGAAAAGAAGCTCCCAAGAGAGCGCCTTAGTGGAAGCCCAATCCATACAGCCCGCAACTCCCAAACCAAAACCGGCTTCAGGATTTCGGGCTCGGGCCTTCGGGCCTGGGGTGGTTTAGGGTTTGAGGTTTAGGGTTTAGGGTTTAGGGTTTGGGGCTAGGGTTTAGGGCTTAGGGTTTAGGGTTCGGGTTAGTTTAGGACGCATGGCAAACGACCCCCAGAGCGGCTCCGAAATGTCATCGCCGCTCTCCACGAAAAGTTCGACAGGGTGGCAACTAGATAAAGAAAGCGAGGCCCCCGCACAAAGAGGTGAAGAAGACAGGGAAAACAACAGAACACAAGAGAAGCAAGAGAAACGAGGAAGGATTGTCTGCCGACGTGTCGCACCGAAGAGCCGCGAGAGTCGAAGCAGAAAAGGAGGGCCAGAAACCAAGAAGGCGACGGTGCTCACCACAAGAGCCGCCGCCAGCACCCACGAAGAAGAGGAGGAGGAGAAAGGCGACAGGCCATAGGCGGGGTGTCGTGCGCCAGAAAGCCACCTTAGCCGACGAAGAAAAGGAACCAGAGGCAAGGCGTCTCGAGAAACAGGGCGAGAGAGCGGCAACAGAGCCAGAATAACTGGAAGGAAGAGAGGAGGGCTCTGAAAGTCTGAAGCAGTTGAAAGGGGCAGGAGGTCCCAGCTCTTAGGACCCCAAGTGCAGTCCCCAGCATCCCTGACCATGGAACCATTGGCGCTAGACTGGCTGGAAGGTTCACGATTCAATCCCGTACCCTTGTCCCTAAACCTCCAACGACCTTTGCCCCCGAAAGGAAATCTGCCTTAATGATTCGACGGGGATTCAGGTTTAAACCCTCAACATCTCACTTTTTTCGAAAACCCCCTAAACCCCTAGAACCTATACCAAAAAACTGGAGCCCACAAACATGTGGAAAGAACCCAAAGCCTGAGCCCCTGCGTGTCTCCAGCTAGCTGTCCTGATTCGATGTTGTAGACGTAGAAGGAGCGTTGGTCGTGAAGCTGCTGCTATCCTTGGATGAGAGGTTCAACGTCATTAGCCATCATCCCTTTGTAGGGTTTTTGGTATGGGCCCCCCGCCCCCATCCTCTACTTTAAGGTCTTGTTAAGGAACTGAATTTAAGCTACATAATGAAGATCTATGGTAAGCAATATGGTTTCTGTACTATGGCGTCTTAACTTAAACCCTAAACCCTAAACCCTAAACCTTCCTTATCGTTACTCTGGCAAGGACGGTTGCAGTGCGGGAGGTTGGGGCAACGATGCTGCAAAGCCAACCTTTCTTGCCCCGTTTCCCAAACCTCAAACCCTTACTTACAGGATCATGGGACTTACGGTTTAGGGCTTAGGGTTTAGGATTTAGGGTTTAGGGTTTAGGGTTTAGAGTAGTAAGTAGGGTTGTAATTAAGGTAACTGCACTTATATCTACTTATAACCCCAATTAGGGGACTTATAACCTTACTTACAGGATCATGGGACTTACGGTAGTAAGTAGGGTTATAATTAAGGTAACTGCACTTAATTTACTTATAACCCCAATGAGGGGACTTATAACCTTACTTACTAAGTCCCATGATCCTTCCAGTATACTGCTATCTAAACCCTAAACCCTAAACCCTAAACCCTAAACCCTAAACCCTAAACCCTAAACCCTAACCCTAAACCCTAACCCTAAACCCTAACCCTAAACAACTTGCGCGCGGCTCCGAGCGCCCTTTTCGCAATGCTCAGAAGGAACCGTCAGACGCCAGTCCCAAGCTCCAGCCGGGTTTACGGTTTAGGTTAGGGTTTAGGGTTTGGGGTTTAGGGTTTGGGGTTTAGGGTTTAGGGTTTAGGGTTTAGGGTTTAGGGTTTGGCACAAATCATAGATCCTAAGGCACTTGGCACGGGGTAAACTTACACAAAAACCCACGAAATCCCCGAAGAGGATCGGTAGAAGCCTCCTGAGAACTTCCTGTGAGCCTTCCTTCAAACCGTAAGCCCAAATTGACTTGTCTTCCCGGTCACCGCATGCTGCCACCAGCAAAACGGGGAGGACTCGGAGGAGCTTGCGCTACCTGCTGCCGTGCTCACTTCAACAACGCTAAACCCTAAACCCTAAACTCTAAAAACCCTAAAACCTCCACCCTACACCCTAAACCCTGGGGGGCTTTCCCACAGCTCTCCCTCGAACAAACCTCCTACTGTTCGAGACTTCGGGATTGCAACAAGCTTTGAGCTCCAAATGCTCACTCCTAAACCTTACCTCGACCCTACAAAAGCTAGCTTTTTATAGAATTGCACAAGGAAATCAAAACAAGGAACCCTTACAAGAAGGCCCAATCGGGAACCTGGCAACGGAGCACAAACGAACGGCGGGCCCTAAACCCTAAACCCTAAACGGTGGTAGTGCCAAGCCAGACGTTCTGAATCCCCAAAGCCTCCGTGTGTGTCAAGGGAACTTACGGTTTCGGGATTGGGATTTCAGTTTTGGGGTTGCAAAGGCACCCCTTGCAGTATCCCGTATCGTAACCCTTATCCTATCCCTTATGGTATCCCGTATCGTATCCCTTATCGTATCCTTTATAGTATCCCTTAGCCTATCCCTTATAGTACCCTTACAATATCCCTCATGGTGCCGAACACTCGGGGTTGCGGCTAAGGGGCCTGTTGAAAACACACTCAGGACTTAATCGTGCCAACCTACAGAGTCTTGAAACCTTAACCCTCGACTCAAAACCTTAAACCCTAAACTTCAACCCCAAACCTTAATCCCGAAACCTTAAACCCCAAACCTCAAACCCTAAACCGTCCCAGGCACCCATGCTGTCGAAGTTGAAGAGAACGGCCGGCGGGTCTGGGCGAGGCTTTAACGCGGGATATTCGGGGCCTTTGCGTTCAGGGTTTAGGGTTTAGAGCTTCGGGTTAGTTTAGGAGGTTTAGGGTTTAGAGCTTCGGGTTAGTTTAGGAAGTTTAGGGTCTAGGTTTCGGGTTTTGGGTTTAGGGTGTCGGGTTTAAGGCTCCGGGTATACAGCGCAACGGGTCGGGCTTATCTGAAACTGTGTCGTCACAAAGCGCAAGCCCTACACCCTAAGCCCTCATCCTAAACGAAACAAAAACCTAAGCTCCGGTTTTGGCAGGATTCAAGGTCCCATGTCAAGCAAGAGCTTCTAGGTGAGAGTTATGAAGTAAGAGTCTGGCACACCCAAACCGCAAGCCCTCAACCATGAGTTTTGAAGCGGACTACAACAAGAAAATGCGTTGCCGCCACAGGAAATGTATCAGTGTGCAGGGGGCCTATTTCTCACACCCCATTCATTGTCGGGCGGGCGTTGAAAAATTGCTTCAAGAGCTTCCGCATGACAAAGTGTTACGTTGTAAACCCATATAGGATGAAATGAGAATCGTACAGTAGCAATAGCTGCCAAACACCCTCAACCCACAAAAGCTTGCAAGATGACAACAAGAGGAAACTCAATCGCATACGCACCAACAACTAAACCCCACCTCGCATCAACCCTAAAACCCTAAAACGCAAAGAAAAATCGGACTCACTCAAATCATTCACAACCCTTGACTTGGGGTCCTAAACCCGCAGCCTCCGCGTTTAGGGTGGACCCGTTCCCCCGAGGCTCGAACTATCGCGTGTCACCTGGACAAGTTTCGGGCTTCGGAGTTTAGGATTTAGGGTTTGGGGGTTTAGGGTTTAGGGTTTAGGGTTTAGGGTTTAGGGTTTAGGGTTTAGGGTTTAGGGTTTAGGGTTTGGGGGTTAGGGGTTTTGTGTTACGGGCCTTGTGTTAAAAGTTCAGGGTTTGGGGCCACCTGTACAAGGTTTTAAGGAAAGGCTGAGGGCCCCAAGATACTACCATTAAGGAATTAGGCCTCTCAAGACCATTCTAAGCATGGTTCTGGCGGGCCTACTTCCATAACAGTAGTGCATATGGACCCTCTGAAACCCTAAACCCTAAACCCTCTTGGCTTACGGATGTAGCATAACTCTGTCGGACGGTAGGATGTGCGCTGAAGGGTATTGGAGCCCCAAATTACCACAAAGGATCATGGGACTTAGGAACCACTGTTGATGATATAATTTTAGGGTTTAGAGTTTAGGGTTTAGGGTTTAGGGTTTAGGGTTTAGGGTTTAGGGCATTACCTTAAGGATCCTAAACTATGGGAATGATGGTATATTCTTTACTATGGGTACTGCAGGATTTAGATCGTCAACCGTCGGGTTCTAAATAAGGTAGCTATACGTATATTTACTTATACTTAAAGGATCATGGGACTTAGTAAGTGGGGTTATAATTAGGGTAACTATACTTATAACCCCAATTAGGGGGCTTATAACCTTACCTACTAAGTCCC